TTCCTCGCAAGTATTTCCCTCCAAATCGTACTGGTAAACCGCTGACAGGTCAGCTACTGCCGATTCTCCGAAGACGAGAACACACATCGTAAGACTTGCCGGTCGACGATGAAGGGGCATTATGCCTGGTTTCTTAAGCTCGAATATTCCATCCAATGGTCCGCAAGACCCACACACTGCCTGGCAGTTAAGGTAAATAAGGAACGATTCGGCTGCATACATGCAGTCTAAGCTGCTGGCCATGAGATCGTCACTGTCGACCAGTCGTCTCCTAAAACTGCTTCGTTTGGTTCCAGCGCACCTCCTTGAGCATCTCCGGAGTATGAATTATCCTGCCTTCATCCACCGTTCCGGTTGGACGCACCCATTTTTTAACTGCCTCAAAAACCTTTCCTTCACTGTCCACTTGCAAGTCATCGTCTCGCAACATGGAAAGTACCACGTCTGCAGGCAGTTCCAGGAAAAGGTCGCTCCCAACGGATACCTTAAAAAATGCCTTCATGTGCTGCACAAAAACTCCTCGGAGGCTTGCACAGTTCGCTCCATCTACATGCTCGTGGAATTAATCTTGAGTGATCCACTGGCTGTAACTGAAGACCTATCATCCTGGTCTTGGACTACACTTGACTCCCTAGACTAACGCCTACGGAAGTGGTAGTTATCGAACAGTTTTAGACTCGTTTTTTTTTAAACAGACTTATTGTACCCATTACTGTTTTTTTTAAACTTAAGTATATTTTAATCTCACAACTTTGCACTTTCTGCGCTTTTGGTTTAGAATGCATATTTTTTTCAAAATAAACCATTTGAAGCACTTCTTGACACATTTTATTTTCTTGCTATGCGAGGCGGTTATGTTAGACTTGTGCTCACCGATGGGGTTACGGGACACACTTCTATCATTGTGCTTTGAGTTCTACAACGTGTACCCTGTCTCTTAACCAATTGCCTGACATGCAGCGTTAGAACTGAGGGTTTTAGTTGGCTATCGTGTGGTGTTAAGGCCAATAAGGTTAATCCTTTCGCGTGCGATCGTTGAGGCCCGATTCATTAGGGAGAGGAGATAATTCTTGGGAAGGCCAGATTAGTGGGCAGAGTGTATTCTGTACAGACGGAAGGAGAAAAGTTAGGGCGAAGACTTGACTGTCGGAGCGCACGTCCAGCCGCGAGGCGGGCTAGGTTCGGAGTCATGCCTGGCAACATCCGAGCGGCCACCATTGGCTTTTTGTTTTATGCAGCCTTGGAGGTGATTGATTGGACCCCGCGAGGTTACGCCCTTGGTGTGGGCGCAGGCGAGACTGGTTTTGTTAGTAGGTCACGCCAGACATTGAGCCAGATATAGACAGGGTGTAGGCAGTCGGCGTAACTGCAGCCTTAGTGTGACGCGTCGGCAATATAGGGTTCCCACAGTGCTGCTAACGTCCACTACATGGCTTTTGAGTTAACTTTAGGTTTATTGCTCCCAGTGACCGCGTAGAAATCCACTTGCCACGTTCATCTAGTGTTTCGGCTCCACTTTCGCCGATTCTTCCATCTACAAATGTGGGAAATTTACTTCTCAGTACAGTAGGGTTCAAAATTCTTGTAACATGCCTACACTTGCGAAAGACTAATACTCACTCGCTAATCGGCATTGAGTAAGGTTATAGTACTGATTATCCTGAAGCCTATTCTTAAGTAATTTCCGTCACGATAGGATGCTGGCTCTTTAAGGAGCTTCTCTCTGACC